GGCCGAATCTCATCAGATTGCCTTGCACGCTGAACCAAAGCTCGTTAACCTTATCAATGCGAATGGTTCTGAACACTAGCTGCTGGATGAGCTGGGCAGAGAATTGAATTTCTGGAACCTTGGCCAGATACCTAAAGGGGGAGTTGCAAAAGTCCTCGCGTTGCCGATCGTCGAAATGGTCCATCACGGTCTTTACGTACTTTAGGTTGTTCCATTGCAAAATGTGGGCCCGCAACCTTGCATATTTCGGAATACAAAAATCAAACTCCATTTGTCCTCTGTCCTGCAAGGTGCATTCATAAAACTCACTGGGGTTACATGATAATCATAGACATATTGTATTATAAATAGCAGTTTAATGAAGCAAACTCATGCATGGACACAGTGAACTGTCGAGAAAAATTGACTTCAACTGTCAGTACCGGCAGGTGATTTGTGGATATCTGTCGATACCGATAGATCTCCAAACAAGCATGAAGGTTAGCTTAAGTGTCGAGAAAAACTGAGGTAAAGTGTCGGGGATGACAGTTCACTAGGAGTTGGGTCTGCCTTCTACAGTGAGCTATACAAGTGAACACATAAGACATGCAAGGACAACGAATGAGACCATCATGACTTCAAGATGAATGCAAGGTTTGAGCGTGTAATAAGACGTAATTAAAACCACCAGCACTTAAGATTTGAAACCGTGCATGTAAAGAATGAAAAGCTTATTTTTCCAAATACATTTGTTTCCATAAGTAAGAGTCGACATCATGTTGGAACAAGAACACGTTAACAAATACCACGACATCAAGAAAACAAAAAATATAACAGTAAAGAAATGAGCTTGACCCTCTCAAATGTTGTAATACAAAAATAAAACACCCAAAAATGAGGCTGCTCCCATTCACACAACGCATAACACAAACCCATGAATTGTAAGAAAATCATACCGTAATTATCATTGAACAAAAGAAGGAATAGAGCAATAAAATCAACGAAAATTTCCACTTACAATATTACCTGTTCGTCTAATGAGTCGGTCTTTGAATGACAGGGACGAAAATATATCTCAAAAATCTCCCTCAGCAGTAGCCCTGTATGGTTGGAAGAAAGAAAGTGAAAAATCCATTCCAATTCAATTCATTGTTGCAGCATATTCACATACATATCCATACTGAATCATTTTTGGTGTTTTTGTTGGCATCTTTTTCAGTAACAAATCTTATAAATAATTTCATTTCTCCAACACGAAAAACCATTGGCACTTATCATTTCCCTTCTTTAGAGTACTTTGGTGTTTATGAAAACTTCTCTTCAGTGGCAATCAAGATATGTAAAATTCATTTTCAACTTTTTGTTCTTCTCATCCTAATGTTCAGTCTCAACTTTCAAGTAATCCTAAATCTTCTCATATTTTTGAAGTGCAACTAATAGGTTATATTCCTGGGGTTTTTGTGTGTTATGTTCCCCCATACCAGACCAAATGATTCTCTAGACATTTGTTAAGATCCTCCACCTTCTTCTCCAGTTGTAATAGCTCTTGTCCAGTGTGTACAAGAAGTACAATATCGGGAACTAAAGGTTTATTAGAGAAGGAATATAACAAATTCTCCTCAACAAAAGCAATCATCAGAACTGAGTATAGAAATACTAAACAAATTCAACATAATCCCTGGACTTTGCATCCTACTTCCAAATTTGTTTCCTACCACAAATGGACTTCTTCCTCTACAGCAATTAATAGAAATATATTTTAATGTGATTACGTTTCAAGAAATATACAGGATGCTCTACTAATTCCAGCGTACAAAATAGTTTCTTATGATAGATGACGACATTGAAAAGAATGATACAAGATAAGTCAACACCTTCTTATTAGGGAAGCCAGCTAGTTTTAAATGTGTATTTACTATAAAAGAAAAAGCTCATATTACAGTTCACAAATATAAGGAAAGAGTTGTAGATAAGAGGTTTGCACAAATTTATGAAAGTTTCCAACCTCGAAAGTTGTTCTGTACTCATAAATTTGAATTCAATAACAATTCAATTTTTCTCGCGTGAATAGTCTAGATTGGCTTCTTAACAACTTTATGTTTTGGTAATCAAAAATTTTCGAAACTGCATACGGAGTTACCTCCAAGAATCAAAGATACCATGTGGTAGAAAGAAAGTGTACAAACTAAAGAACTCATTGTACTGGCTAAAAGTGTCATGTCCCACAACATGCTAGCCTATTGCAATGTTCAACAATGCAACTCCATTGCAGCGTATCTCCACAATTGAAATTAGCTCACCATTTCCCATACAACACGTTAAACGTAGATCCTCTTTAATTCACTAATATTTAATATAATAAAATCTATCACTGTAAACTGTATTACAAAAAAGCGATATCCATTCAATATGAATATGACTCAATACATATTTAACCAATAAATGTGATTACATGTGTCGCAACTACTAAAATTCCATATACATTTTCACATTTTTAAGTTCATTAACGTAGTGTAGTTGAAAATGATGTTACTGAAATAAGAAGACTGAAGGGAACGCAGCCTACAGAGTTTCATACTAAAATGTAGGAAATGTAGATAATTTTTTCTGGAGTTCAAATGACAAGATCTAGTAAAAATATGTGAAAATTACAGTATTTTGCATTTGTTCAAAGAAAAATGTACGTCGGGTTGCAAACAATGACATACGCCAATCGATCCTAAATCAGAGAAATAGCACAAACAATAGCAATATTCAATGTAAACCATATCCTAATTTTTTAAACCCTACATCTAATATTACTAACAGCGAAACTCTAAAAGTGGAAAATTTGTCGATTCTCAAAATATACTATACCGAAGGAAACAAATTCCAACCATCTTATCGCTATTTTCTGGCGGCGGATGGAAAAATAGCTAAGAAACAAGTGAGAGGTCAAAAGATGGGTGGATTTACCTTCGCCTTTATTCGGTTCTTCTGACAATCGCACTGGAGAAGACGACCCTTGGACGTTGTGCTCAGCTTCGACCGATTCAAATGACAATGGGGGTCACTTCGTCGTCGACGATGAAGGTCGTCTATGTGGTCGTCCACGGCAGGGAGTGAGGTCGGCAATTCCAAAGAGAGGGTGGACAATTTCGGTGAGAGAGCGTTTGGTCCGTTTGGCTTCCACCTCCTTCGTCTTCTTTTTTTTTCTTTGTTTTGGTTCAACTTTACACAACTCCTTCCTGACACAATTTTTGTCGAGTCAAATCATCTCATTAAATGTAAGACAAGTAAGGTATTGAATTTCTGCAAAGGGGCAAAATTGTCCAAATTTATCACAAAATACCATATTTGCAATGACTTAAAAAAGATGACATTTTTGTAACTAAAAATCAAGATTTTGACATCCACTGTAATTTCCACTTAAAGTAATAAAGTCAAGCTTTTGCCAGAGGGACCAAAAGGAAGAAAACATGGGATCCCCTATAAAAAGATAAAACTCAGCTACCACTAGCTCTGCTTTCATCCTTGCCCGCCACGTAGATAGGCACAAAGCCAGTTGAGGGCTTGAATCCAAGCATAGAGCTGTCCCTGAGCGCCAAAGGTCTTTTGTTTTTGGAAAAAAATTTACTAACTAATGTACAAGAAACTAAAAAAAAAAAAAATATTATAGTTCAATGACAAATTCTCGTTTACCTTCGTTTTAATTCTACATAATTAAGTGTGAAGACAACTGACAGTAAAGAACTCATTTTGCCGATGGAGTTTAAGGAACCGTCACGAGAGAGTAGGTTTTGTATTCGCCTTTATTGCAGCGTTCATTTTGAAGTGTTACTTTATAGTTTTATATCTGTTGCAGGTTTGCGTGCATGACTTGAAGCAATTTATGTTATCTTGTTCATCTTAATATTAGGGAGAATTGGATAGTATCAAAGAAGAAATACAATCTTGTATACTATTTTGTCCAGTCAATTTCAATGAGTAGTACAAAACATGCATTAAATGTTTTGTCATGTGTTCGAACTGTCTGATGCATATTTCATCATACGGTTTGTTGGGCAAAAGCACTTGATATATGAAGATTAAGGGTGACTCCCTGGATTGACTTTCCACTACAAATCATTCCCTTGAAGGACGAGCTCGTGGAATAGACTTTTAACACGTTTGTATTAATTTTGAAGGGCGTGTTGTCTGACCACAATGTGGATATGTTACATATAATTAATAGTCGAATGTGCACAGTGCAAAATCCACATTTGCTTGCTCGAGTCATTGTCAAAGAATTTCAAAACCATTACATGCACTTAGCTATTTATCTTATGGAGGCAGTAGAGTAACTTACCTTTGCGTACTCACACACATAAGTAGCAAGCACGTGAAAGATTGAACCCAGTAGACTAACTTTCATAGACAACAATGTCCAACAAGCCCGCATTTTTCCATCTATTTGAGTACAAAAGTGTTAACCAACCTAGTACACTTAACTTTATATTACTGAGCAAAACCAGTTAGAATATCAAATCCATAGCCTAGAATCAGCATGACAATAATATCCTATTGCTGAACAAGAATTTGAAACCAAACACAAAGATGCTTAGGAATTTCTGGTGCAGGCAATCATTTTAAGAACAATTCAACAAACACAATCCCTTTGTTAAGTACATTGGACCAGCCAGGCCGTTCAAAAATGAACGTTTCAGACCCCCCCCC